CGGTGTGGAAGAAGCTGCAGAGCGGAGAGACGATTGGGGGGACGGAGGGCGGGCGGGGGGCTGCTCGGGATGACGAGGATGATGGGAGCGGGATGGGGTGGGTGAAGAAGAGAAGGGAGAAGAGGGAGAGAGAACGTAAGGAGCAGGAGGAGCGAGAGAGGGCGGAGAGGGAGAAGGCGAACCCGGAGATTCGGGTGTCGGCGCCGCAGGAGGAGGTGGAGAGTAAGGAGGAAGAGAAACCAGTCGAAGTGGTCGCTGAGAAGGACGCGCCGGTGGATGAGGAGGAGGAGGAGGCACCGCAGGTTGTGGCGGAGAAGGAGGAGCCGGAGCATGTGTACACGACCGTCGCTGTGCCCGTGGTGCAGGCGCACCCGCACCCGTCCCGCACGCACTCGCACTCGGAGGAGGAGCGGGAGCGCGCCAAGTCGCCGCCTGCGCTGATGACGCCCTCGGCGAACGAGGACGAGGAAGACGACGACGAGGAGGAGAGCCCGCGCAGTGAGGAGGCGAGCGCGGAAGGCATTCCTGAGGAGGATGAGGTGAGTTTTTTGCTCTCGTTTCTTGGGTGAGTATCGCCGCTGACTGTGTGGTAGGATGAGGAAGACGAGGATGAAGAGGAAGAGGAGAGGCGGCGCGTGACTGCGCTCGGTGCGGGCTTGGAGAAGGTCAGCCGGCACAAGGAGGCGGACGAGCGGGAGCGGTAGGGGTCGCGTCCCCTACCCTCCCTTCCCCTGCTCTTTTCTCTTTGCGGCGAAGGAGCGGTTTTGGGTCGTCAGGATCCAACGTCGCCGCATAGCCTGCTCAGGACAGGCTGTACATATCAAACTAGGCCGCTCCGACCGGTCCAGCAAACTGGGCCCCCTTACTGGCCGCGCCAGTGTCTAGCTGGGCTTATCGGTCGTGGGGGCCTTGTATATAACGAAAATCCCGCCGCTCGGCATCCCCGCCACATCCTGTCTATATCCTCCCGTCTCCACTGCTTGGTGTTAATCGCTTTCGTCGCTGCTCCGGCTTCTCGTGCAATGTACAACAATTTCGCACAACCCATGCACGCATTCACGTTTCATCGCAACTCAACTCAATCCCGCCATTGGTACTACTTTTCGTTTAATCGGGGTCTTGGGTGCTATATCGTCCGTCTTCTCCGCTCTATTTCTTTTGTCTCTACCTTATTGTATTCACCGTACACATACGACAGCCGCCTTTTGTGATTGATTTATTGCGCTTCAGAACGTATATATTCGTTAGTTGTACTCGTAGGATTTTCGGCTGGGTGTACGTTAGGTGCTCCCTGCTCTTGTGCATAGTGGTTTCGATGTAGGGCGTGGCAATGATTATACGTCCCGGTTTGTCTTGGATGGAGTGCGGGAATGGACTTGCAACAATGTGATTGACGCGTCGGTCGAGTGGCTGCGTCTGTGCCGCCGACGTTTGACGGCGACTTGGAGGTGTCGTGGGCGTCGCTCTCGACGGTGGGGTGTTCTGCTGCACTGTATTAAAGTTCCTGAGGTATGGAATGAATATAAGAGGCTGCCAGAGTGCATGAGTGAGCTGACAGGGGAGATGGTGGGAGGAGGCAAGAGGCGGGAGGTGGGTGGAAAGTAAAATTCGAGCGGGTAGAAGAGCCCTCGCAGACCCCGAAATCGGTGTTTGTGCAGTGATAGCCGGGTGTAAGCGCTGGACCAAATAATGAAAGAGGTGCAAGTTACACTCTGCCGGCCCTCAACACCCCCTCCTTCGAGGGGTATTTTCCAGCGGTTTGTAGTCGGATTTGAAGTCCCATCCACGCTTCCATAGCACGTTTGAAGTCAAAGCACCGTTCATTTCGTAGTCCTGCCTACCCTAATCACATAGGTACCCTCCTGCCACACTCTGCCACACCGGCATTTCCTTCACCAAACAGAGTCCCCCCGCTGCCTTTCCACCCGTCCAGGGACACTGCCGACTCCACGCGCAAAGGGTGGGCGTTCTGACGGGAATCGAGAGTGGCGGGACGCGAGCGGCGGGATGGTCCTCCCATCCTCTCGCCGCCCATTTAGGGTTAGGGTTCGTGATCATCTAGCCGAGGGTTATCAGCACGTTGCGTTCCCCTTCGTGCAGATACACGCACCATTCAATACCGAGCCCCCAACTACATACACCCCGCGCACAGGATTTCGATCCGCCCCTATATCGATGTCCCGCTTCGAAAGCAAACCCTCCCACTCTCGACAGCTACGGCACTGACTCCTATCGATCCGAACAGTCCACGCCACCAACCGCTCCCCCGGACGTCGATCTATCCCTACATCACTGTCCACCGTCACAATCCATGGTACTCCCAGAGTAGGTAGTATGAATACTCACCCGCTGAAAAAGCCTCCTTCCCGTTCCGACCACCTCCTTAACCTCTTAACCATCTATTGTCGCTCGCCGGATCGTGATACGGCATACGTCGCTACATCGCAGTCCCGAGCATACTGCACTGCAGGACCACCGCGCCGGCCGAGAGACAGACAGGGTGCACGCTGAACAAGGCAGCGTCGAGGACGCATTCAATAACATCCCCAACAGGAGGACATGGAGCGCCGAGAGCCCGCTCGCGGGAATTCGATTCGTCCCTACATTGCGAAGCGGGTATACATCGTGACGGGGTGCCAAAGACCGGGGCGACGATGCAGATGCATCAGATCGACAGGGGCGCTGCAGGTCCGTAGAGCGGGAGACTCCGCTGGCGGGAACGCGATACGTCCCGACTTTGCGATGTGGGGTCCCCGCCTTTGCCAGAGAGCGATGCCTAGAGAGTAGGAGGTCGTCTCGCGAATCGACAACGGTCGCGACAGCGCCGATACCCGGCTCGCGGGACGGCGATACGTCCCAGCTTCATCGGACCAGGTAGCCGACAGAAAAGCAAAGCCGAGGCGAGGTGAGACGAAGGCACAGATGCCACGCAGCTACAGAGACACAGACAGAAAGTCGAGCGGAGAAACCCCGCTCGCGGGAACGCGATACGTCCCGTCTCTGCGATGCGGAGGTCCTGGGTTTGCTGGAGAGTCACGAATAGCGCGTAGTTGCCTGTAGAGTACCAGACGCGTTACAAACCGAACGGGCTCGCCATAGCACTGAAATCCCGCTCGCGGGGCGTCGATGCATACCATCTTCGCGAAGCGGGAGTCTTCGGGTCATCGGAGAGACGTAGTCGCCTAGACACTGGGAGCCCTCTCGTAAACCAAGAGCAGCGGTAGTGAAGGTGCCAGAGCGCCGGCGGCCCGCGAGCGGGACGTCAACACGTCTCCCCTTATGTGTCGAGAGTGATGTGTTAGTGACAGCTAGGTCTAGGTGCAAGGCACAGACTTACCGACGGAAACAAGCAATGGCGCATTCACGGAGCCTCTGCTAGGGACCGCGTCGGATTCTGTTACATGCATGCGACGTCACGTCGAAGGGCATTATGGCGGGACCGCGCCGATGTCAAGACGGGGTAGACACGCGATAGCGGCACAAGCCCGCTCCGCGGGTGTCGATACGTCTCGACTTGGCAAAACGGGACCTCCGACGAGACCGAGTCGAGCGTAAGACTGCGGAGAGAGAGGACGAGCGGCGGCTAGATTGTGTCGGATGATCGAAGAAGAAAATCCGCCGATACGAGAGGGGCGCTCGCGGGGAACCAATCTGTCCCATCGTTGTCTACCTGACGCCACGGACTTGGCAAACATAAGCGAACAATAGAGATCGACTCACGTACCCGGCGGAGCTTGCAAGCGTTTCACCGAGCTCGCAGCATTATGCCGTCGACGGCGTGTAAGGGAACAGCGGCGTCGACGGGATCCTTGATGAAAGGTGCGGTCTCGGGGCATTCGTACGTCCCATCTCCGTGTTGAGCGGTCGAAGACTGCTAGAGATCGGTCGTAGCTGATGGGTAGTGCGCAGCATGATCTTCTATCAGTCAGGACGAAATCTTGTGCATCTCTCCGTGGCGCAAAGCTTCCCAGATAAAGCACGCCGTGTAAGCGATGTCGAAAGAGAGTGGTAGCCACAGAATGTCGCCAGACGTTTACTTGGGGAAGGAACCAAAGTCGCCAGTGAGTCGGAGAAGAAGACAATCCCGCGGTTGCCAGAAGAAAGATGAGTCGATCAAGCACGGGAGGTCGGAAGAACGGCGATGAAGTCAATGTCAACGTTCGCGAAGGTCAACAGGCAAGATCCCAAGAGCAACGGAGCAGACGTAAGGCAGCAGTAGATGCGCGAGATAGGGTAACAGCGACAAAGTAGAGGGGGAAGGGCACACGGGCGTGTGTAGACTTGTATGGTACAGCGTGCCTGGTGGCCACGGGTGGGCAAGCGTATCTGCGAGGCACCATCGACAGCGTGAGATAAGGCAAAAGAGAGAGTAACCAGTGACTTACCGCCTGCATATACATGCGAGAACAGACGCCACGACTGACGTTCGTTCGAACCGCGTGGTCACGCTGACACTGCCGTCCACCTCGAGGGTCCGGGTATACTGGGATCTCTGAACTCGAACGCCGGCGGCGGTCCAGAAACGACGGCGATCGTATATGCGAGTAATAGGGTGGGGCTTGCTCGCAACCTCGCAAGACCAGACTCGGCGGGTCTCGTGCAACCATAGGTCGTCGAATTCGAGAGCAGGAGCGGAGGCCAACAGCGTCCTAACATAGTGGTGGGTCCACGGAGCTGGACTGGAACTCTTCGCGATGTGTGCTATTCGCGGGGCTTTCCGTGTCTTACTCGAGCATTCAGTGCGAGTCGACGCACTCGACGGAGTGATGGGAGGAACATAGTGTATTGAAATTGTGTACAGAGTAGACTACTGAAGAATAGGTTAGGTGAGTGCTGGTGGATGGAAGGCAATCAGAGAACGTACCAAAGGTATAATATCGATATGCGCCCACAGCATCTAATCAGCGCGAAACAATGCTTCATCTGCCGCTGCCGAGACGCGCATCTTCTCCCTCTCGCAAAGGTAGTAGCAAGCCGGATGGCATGAGCCCAGAGTATCAAAGCAAATATTCATCCCGTTCCGTCGAAAATCTGCATGCGCGCAGTCGAAGGACAAGGCGGTGGAGGGCAGCATGATCTTTGTATCGCGATCAAGAGGCTGAAATCCCCATAATCGCACTGCAGACTTGCCGGAGCAGATAGACGCTCCCAATCCGAAGCAATCCATCCTCCTCTCGTCCCGCTTCCCCCCTCCAACCGAAATACCACCGATATACCGCCCCGATTCAAGGCACTCCTAGCTCTTTGTAGAGGCCACTCGTGTGATCCTACGGTACGCAAACGCTCGGTCAGACTACTCTCTGTAGACACATCCAAGTCGTCACGTACCGGGAGAAGAAATAACGCGCTGCAGACAAAGTTTCGCCGTATCCAGCAGGCATTTGAGGAGGGTGGTGGGGTCATGCGAAGGTGGGCTGAATGGTCCGTCGGGTCTGATGAGCGTCGCGGAACGATGAAGACGAAGGAGCCAGACGTACCGAACGCAGCAGCACCACGTGCGCCGCACCGCCACTCTATCGCGATCATCCATCGCCAATGTCTTCATCTCTCGCTCGTCGTGCGTTCCCGTCGCATGCGCGCCGACCAGGTCAACGGGACCAAAGCGGCGCGCTATCCATCTGGCATGATACTCCTGTACAGCTTGGTAAGCATTGAAAGGAGCGGATGTCGAACTGAGCAGTAAATTTCACATACCTCAGGCTGTGGATTACACTGAGTACTTGGTGGCGCGTGCGAGGCGTCGAAGGGGACACAGGTTTCTGTGTATATTCATGCTGTATATTTGAGATGAAGACAGTCAGTATAAGCAATATTCACAAGAGAAGCTCAACAACTGAGACTGACCTAGACTATGAGCATTGAAGGACCAGGTTGTCGCCAGGACAGGAACAACAGAGCAGACGAACATAATGGGGGCATAGGCCGGGTACTCTCGCAGGCCGTCACCGCACATCCGTATATACTCCATGTGCCGTACCGCATCCCTCGGGCAGGACATTGATGCCGGTAAGCTTCCCTGAGAAGTTGCCACCGGGTAGTGCTCCTTCCCTGCGACAACTCTCAGCGAAG